CCCCCCGGCCCAGTAGGCCCCTCAGGCAAGGACGGCTCCAATGGGATGCCCGGACCCATCGGCCCCCCTGGACCCCGCGGCAGGAGCGGCGAGCCCGGCCCTGCGGTGAGCGGGGACACCGGGGAGAGGGGATCTGGGAGGAGAGGGATCCTTGTGAGAGAGAGGGGATCCAGGAGGGGATCCGAGGGGAGAGGGATCTCGCGGGGAGAGGGGATCCGGCAGGAGAGAGGATCCAGGAGTGGAGGGGTCCAGGAGGAGAGGGATCCTGTGGGGAACAGGAGGAATCCAGGAGGGGACAGGGGATCCAGGAGGAGAGGGATCCTTGTGAGAGAGAGGGGATCTGGGAGGGGAGGGATCCAGGAGGAGAGGGGATCCTGCAGGGGAGGGATCCTGTGAGAGAGAGGGAACCTGCCACAGAGGGATCCTGTGGGGGACAGTGGGATTCAGCGGGGAACAGAGGGATCCAAGTCCCGGCCGATCACCCCATGACCGCTCCTCCCTCCCGCAGGGTCCTCCCGGGAACCCCGGCCCGCCAGGGCCCCCCGGGCCCCCCGGTACCGGTATCGACATGTCGGCGTTCGCGGGGCTGGGGCAGCCCGAGAAGGGCCCCGACCCCGGGCGCTACATGCGGGCGGACGAGGCGGCGCCGGGGCTGCGGCCACACGACGCCGAGGTGGACGCCACCCTCAAGGCCCTCAACAACCAGATCGAGAGCATCCGCAGCCCCGAGGGCTCCCGCAAGAACCCGGCCAGGACCTGCCGAGACATCAAACTCTGCCACCCCGACTGGAAGAGCGGTGAGAGAGAGGTCCCGGCCCTGAGTCCATCCCTGTCCATCTGTGTCCATCCCTGTGTCCATCCCTTTGTCTCTCTGTGTCCATCCCTGCGTCCCTCTGTGTCCATCCCTGCCTCCATCCCTGTGTCCCCCTCTTCCTCCTTGTCTCCTCCTCTCCTCCACCACCCTCCCAGCCACCAAGGCCCACGCTGACCCCACCACGGGCAGTCACTCACTGACCCCACGCCCTCGGTTCACAGGCGATTACTGGATCGACCCTAACCAGGGCTGCACCCTGGACGCCATCAAGGTCTTCTGCAACATGGCCACGGGGGAGACGTGCGTGTACCCCAGCCCCAGCAGCATCCCCAGGAAGAACTGGTGGAGCAGCAAGACCAAGGAGAAGAAGCACGTCTGGTTCGGCGAGACCATCAACGGCGGCTTCCACGTGGGTGTCTGGGATGGGCCCGGAGGGGAAACAGGGTACCTGGAGTTTCACAGAAGAGTTGGAGCTGATTACCTTCTTGGGGGTGGAACTTTTGGTGGTTCTATCAGATATTGGGTGATTTGAGGATTATATGGAAATTTTGGTGCTGATGTCCGTCCTGTGGGTGGAACTGGTGGTTGTTGGATAAGAAACGGTTAATTTAGGGGATTTTACTGAAACTTTGGAGTTGATGTCCCTCCTTGGGGTGAAATAGGGGGTGTTTCGATCAGAACTGGTGGATCCAGTGGACTTTATGTAAATCCTGGAGGGATGTCCTTCTTTGGGGTGAAATTGATAGGGTTTGGATCACATATTGGTGGATTTAGGGATTTTAAGGAAAACTAGGAGTGATGTCCTTCCTTGAGGTGAAATTGATGGGTTTTGTACCAGAACCAGTTGATTTAGAGACTTTCATGGAAATCTTGGCATCAGGCCATGACAGTTTCCAGGTCTGGGAAAGCAAACTGTGGAAATTCCCCAAAAATACCCCCAAAAAAGCCCAAAATTCCCCAAAAAAAGCCATCTGAAAGCCTCCCTCCCCCTGCAGTTCAGCTACGGCGCTGAGGAGCTGGCGCCCAACACGGCCAACATCCAGATGACCTTCCTGAGGCTGCTGTCCACTGAGGGCTCCCAGAACGTCACCTACCACTGCCGCAACAGCGTGGCCTACCTGGACGAGGAGTCGGGCAGCCTGAGGAAGGCGCTGCTCATCCAGGGCTCCAACGACGTCGAGATCCGCGCCGAGGGCAACAGCAGGTTCACCTACAGCGTGCTGGAGGACGGCTGCACGGTGCGTGCCGGGAGGGAGAGAGGGGCAAATGGGGGCAAATCTGTAAATCGCGGGGTTCACCACATAGGGAGGAACCTGGGAGGTCAGAGAGAGCGACCTGGGAGGTGACAGCATCTTGTCACCGAGTGCCACCAACCCGTGAGGGGACAGCATCTTGTGTCACCAAGTGTCACCACGGCCAGCATTTGGGTAACACCTCCAGCTGGCTGTGGTGCTCCAGGGATGGGGACTCCAAACCCCATTTTCCAGTGTTTTCCCGCTAGAAATACACTGAGAAATGCGGTCCTTCTTGGTTTAACAATGAAATGGGGCTCAAACTGAGATTGGGAAGGTTCTAGGAGATTATTAACTCCATTTTTCCAATGCTAATGATAAATTTGGGCTCAAACTGAGTTCTGGAGGATTAAATAACCCCATTTTCACCCATTTTTTTCCTTATAAATACACCAAGAAGTGGGGCCTCTCTATGCCTGATGACAAATGTGGGTTACAACTGGGATTTGAAGGGTTTGGCGAGGATGTAACAGGTTAAATGACCCCAATTTTACCTGTTTTTCCCTCAGAAACACACAGGGAAGTGGGGCAGGACTGTCATCGAGTACCGCTCGCAGAAGACCTCGCGCCTGCCCATCGTGGACATTGCACCTATGGACATTGGGGGACCCGAGCAGGAGTTTGGGGTTGACCTCGGCCCCGTCTGCTTCTTGTAAAAAAAAAAAGGATTTTTTTGGTGTGGTTGTTTGTTTTTGGTTGTCGTGGTTTTTGTTTGTTTGGTTTGGTTTTTGTTTTTTTTAAAAAGCCCGGCCCGATTCCTTAAAAAAAGAAGAAAACCACAAGAAACGGGATCCACCCCAAAAAGGAGCTGAGAAGTTCTGCACTGAAAGGGCTCACCCCGAATCAGGGAGCAACCACCTCATTCCAACACCAGAATCAAAGGAAAAACCCATTAATATTTATTTATTCTCTTCCTGGAAGACCTGTTTTTGAGGTCAGGTGGAGGTGGGAATGTCAGTGATCCCTTTTTCCCTGAAAAAAAAAATGGGATTTCACCAATCCAGCTATCAAAAATCCCCTCCTCACCCCAAATTTTCCCCTCTCCCCTCAGCAGGAGTGTTCATGTATAATATGAGTTAAAAAACACACAAAAAAATCAAAAAATGGTGCTATTCTTGTAAAACAAGTCTGTATTTTTTAACATCTGTTGGTATAAAATGAAAAAAAATCTTAAAAAAAAAACTTTTGGTCGAAAGTAAAAGTTGAGTTGAGTCTCTTTCTTTTGGGTATGTTTGCAGTAATTTAAATATTTCCTCCCCATTTCAACCACCATAAAGTTCTTTAGGTTGGGAAAAAATCCTATTGAAGTCCTCATTTTGGGTTAAAACTGCACATTTTTTGGGTTGGGATACTTCGAGCTAAGGGGGAAGAGGGGGGCGAAATCCCCAGAAAAGCCAAAAAAAAAAGGAAAAATTTGAAAGTGAAAAATTTTGAAGTAGAAACTTGTGGAAAAGCAGGAGGTTTAATTGTGGAATTCTTGTCCTATAATTAGGATTGGGACAATCTCGGTGTCACCAGGGCAAGGGGCAGCTGTCCCCTCCTCCCTACAAATTTTATCCTGTTTTCTACCTGCAAAAACTCAATTTTGGGGCTGTTTTGCAGCACTGGAAGTAGGAGACTCCACTCGTGCTGTGCCACAAAAAATCCCACATGGAAATTCCTCTCCTCGCCAGGCTGTTCATTACAGGCAAAAAGCTCAGAAATGGGATTTTTTTAATGATCTTGACAAAAATCAGCCCAGTGACCCCGAAGAGGCCCAAACCTGCTCAGATCTCTCCTGCAAGAGGCCCCAGGCAGCTCCTGGATGAGGAATTCCTGAGTTTCACCCCAATTCTTTTGGGTCAAAACTCCTCTTTTTGCCTCTGTGGATGGCAACGCTTCTCTTGGAGAAATTATAACAAAAAGATTTTTAAAAACAGCTGTAAAAAAGCCATTTTGGGGCAGAATTTGAGTTTTAAACCCTCCCAGCTTCAAGTGCGCCAGCTGCCAGTTGTGGCCAAGCACCAAAACATTGGCAGGGGAAATTCATTAAGGAGGATTGGGGGATTAAAGAGGATTTTCCACCCAAAAGTGCCCTTTGAGACGCTCTCCTAATGATGGGGGCTCTGCACCAAGGGTTTGGGGTCAAATCTTTCCCCTCCTGGTGCAGCCAAGCAGAAAATTCGGGGGTCCCTCCTGGGGGCTGCCCCCCCAAAAAACCCTCCAGGATCCTTGGAAAAGTGGGATGGGGCTGGGGGCAAAGAGGAGGAAAGGGAATGAGGGGAGGCCCCCAGAAAATCAGGATTAAACCCAGCCAGGAGGGGAAGAAAATGGAGAAAAAGCAAAGTTTGGGATTTCTTCCTTTTCCTAAAAAAAAGGGAAAACTCAGTGGGAATTGGTCACCAGGGAAGGAGGTTGGGATCGGGATTCTGGGCACCGGTCCCAGCTGGGAACAGGAACCTGGTCGAGTTTTTTTTCCCCCCTCATTTTCCCCCAAAAATTCCTGGGAAGGGCTGGGAAAAATGGGATTTTCCAGCCTGGAGAAGGGAAGGCTCCAGGGTGACCTCTCAGGAGAGCCGGGACAGACCTGGGATACAGGACAGAGGGACAGGACGTGGGGAGGGGCTTCCCACCGGGGTCTGGAGGTTTGGGTGGGATTCGGGGAAGGAATTTCTCCCTGTGAGGGGAGGGAGGCCCCAGGATGGAATTCCCAGAGGATTCCCCATTGCTGGGGAGGAGTTTTAGCATCCCCCAACCCATTCTGGGATTCTGATTGAATCCATCAGCAAAACAGGGATTTTTGGGCAAAAAACACCACAGGAGCAACCCCAGCAGAGCACTGGATTTAGGACAAATCCAGAACTTTTCTTTAAAAAAGTAAAGGACAGCACATGGAAAGATCCAAATCAGGTTTATTGATTTCAGAAGAATTCAGCCCTACAAATGCTGCAGGGGCAGGAATCTCTTGCTGGAAAAGGGAGCAGAGTGTGGATTTTGTGCCACTGTCACCCCAAAATCCACTAATTTTCCCATTGAGGAAGGATCCCCTCCCACGTAGCTGTGTCTGGCTCCCGAATCCCACGGGAAAGGAGGGCTGAAATTCCAGAAAAAACCTCCCAAAAAGGGGCAAAATGCCAAAGGGCTGCGGGGGCCAGGCTGGCAGCTGGGCTTTGCTCGGGATAGCGGCTGGCAGGAATGTCCAGCTCCCGGCAGGGAGGCCTTGGAATCCCAGCCTCCCACAGAACCCCCTCCAATCCCCGCTGCTTTGGGAAGTGGAGCACAAAAAGCAGCAAATTCCCGGATTTCAAACCCCAGGGAAGAGCCTCTGGATGCCAAAGGGGTCGGAGCCACAGGGGGAAAATGAGGGAGAGGTTTATCCCAAAGACTTGGGTTCCTTTGGCTCCTTCCAAAGGTGTAACAGAGGCTCATGCCAGGTGGGAATTGTCCCTTTTTTGGGGTCTTGAGGTGCTGCCACCATTGAGCAGGAAAACAAACTCATTTTCCCTGAAAAAAATAAACCCATTCACTCTCAAAAATTAAATCCATTCACCCCAAAACACCCTGACGGCTCCAAACTTCCAGAACAGGTGCAAACCACTGCAGATCTCTGGGATTTCAGCCCTCGGTTCCGGATTCCTTGGCAGGAAGGAAGGGAAGGAGCACCCCCGGCAGGGCGGCAGAGGAGGCGCCGGGTCTGTCCCCGCAGGGCCACTCAGGGTCCCGGCGGTGCCCTCAGGGCGTCCCCCGGGCCGGCGCCGTGGAGTTGGAGCTGCAGTCCAGGTAGTGGAAGGTCTCCAGGGTGCTCTGGGCGCTGTGGCCGATGTAGGAGAGCCTCACCGAGGTCCTGGCAGGGCAAAGGGACAACCCAGCAGGTTTGGATTCATCACAGACTCCTCTTTTCCTCAAAAAAACACCCCAAATTCCAGCGGATTTTGGTGAAAAGGTGGGGATTGCAGCCTCGGGAAGGAGCTGTGTGCTCCACCCCATATTTACCCACCCTGGGCTGGATTAAAACCTGACCCTGAGGTGGATTTGGGGAAAAATCCAAGCAGGATTTTCTCCCTGGGGCCCAAATCCGTGGCTGGAATTCCCCAGGGATTCAGGAACCAGAGAACAGAATCTTTAAGGTGGGAAAAGAGCTCCAGGAGCGGCACCCACCTCATGAGGATCACGATGTTGTGGACCTTCACCTTGGGCAAAGTGCAGAAAAAACTGGAAAAGATCAAGGAAATTGGTCAGCAAGTGTGAAACTTGAGGAATTTGGGATTTTTTGGCAGCTCCTGCTGGTATTTTTCACTTTGGTGTTAACAAAACCATCTCACAGCACCTTGAGAAAATTCCTGGCAAAGGAATTTAGCAGGAAAAGTGAGTGATTTACAATTAATTCCCCAAATTTTAATCAAAGCAGCTCCAACCCTCTCCCTCCCCAGGTATCTCCAAGGAGCAGTAAATCCTTACTACACATAGGACAGGGATCCACCCAGCTCTGCCTTCACGGTGAAATTCACCTGCAACAGAGCGGAAAAAAATCAGATTTCAGTGCAGCTTCATCACCTTTCAACCCCATTTCTGAGGGAGTGCACAGAGCAAAAGCAGCGGTGGCCCCTGGGCACTGAAATCACGAGGTGAACTCGCAGAGCTCCCAGTCAGTACCAGTTTGTCCCTCAGGGGCTGGATGCTGGAGACGTTGGTGAGCTGCTGCCTGCCCACCACGGTGTTCATGTACTGCACCTGGCTGCTCAGGCTGCTCACTGCCACCGAGTAGAAGTTGGAATTCCTGATCCTCAGCGTGGCCTGGAGGGGACAAAAACAGCCCTGACCTCACTGGCTCCTTCCCCTGGGAATTTGTTTTCCCAAATCCATGGAAACTTTACCGTGATGGCCAGGAGGACAGCGGAGTTCTTCCTGTCAAACCACACCTGCACCACTTTGATGCCATCATCGTCCACCAGCACCGAGTGGGGGAACAGGAAGAAAACCCCCAGGCCAGACAGCAGCAGGCAGAGCAGCACTGAGAGCAGCACATAGAGTTTCCTGGGGAAAAAAAAAAAAAAAAAAAATTAAATTCTTCACCTTCTCTGCAATATTCAGATCCTAAAATACCCCACCCCCTGTTTGGTTTCCTTGGAAGAGGCACCCAAGAGCTGCTGTCACATTTTTAATACCAAGAGGGCTCAAAATCCCCCCTTTGCAGATTTGGGGTTGGGTAATGAGCAACCAAAGCAGCATTTTGGGGTCTTTTTGCAGCTGCTCCCAAAACTCCAGCGAGGGGATGGAAGGTGGGAGTGAGTTTGTGGTACTCATGGTAGAAATATTTAAAATCACACATTAAACTCTATATTTTGGGGTGAAAACAGCCCCTAAAGCAATAAAAGAACTCCTCCCTTACGTTCTCTGAGGACGAAGGCGTTGGTCGCTGTAGGGGATCAGAGCCACCAACTCGTTCACCTGCTCTGGGAAGCAAAATGGGAATAACACATTAAAAAGTGACCTTTTATGGGAATAACACATAAAAAGTGACTTTTTTGCTGTTTAGAGCTGGATTTTGGGGTGCTTAGGCCCCGGAGGAGCAGCCACCTGAGGGGATGCGGCCGGTGCCTTGGCAGGTGGGGCAGGTGATGCTGTCCTGGCCCGTGAACTCCATGTAGGGACTCTTGGCCCCATCCTGCACGGGCTCCTGGCTGACCAACACCTCCTCCGCCTCCTCAGCCTCGGCCTTCCTGCGGCTCGGGGCGGCGCTGGCGGCGGACAGGGATCGCACAGAGCCCATGGTGGCGGTGATGGGGACGGCTGTGTCACCTGGGACAGGCGGCAGGAGCAGCTCTGGGCTGTTGAAGGGGGTTTTGAGCCATTTCTAAGCCACAGTCCCAAAGCCACCACAAAGTGTCCCCATCCACAAGGGGCTTCCTTGGAGAACGGGACACCTTGATGGGCTCCATTTCCAGCTGCCCAAAACCCAGCGCTGCCCAGGCACCCCCTCCTCCACTGAGAGCAGCACCTCCTCAGGCAGCCCCCGCCCCAAAACACAGCCCCGGGGCTCGGCGCGTCCCCTCAGGAACAGCCCAGAGCCCCTGAGACCCCCCGAGAGGAACAGGCCCCACTGTGGACCCCATCTCAGAGACTCCCTCATCCTCAAGGTCCCCCTCCCTCAGGAACCGCCCTTTGAAGATCCCCTCTCTCAGAGACGCCCTCCCTCAGGAATTTCCCCTTCACAGACTCCCACCCTCGGGACCCCCTCCCTCAGAGCCCCCCTGTCCCGGCGCGCCCCTCACAGACCCCTTCCCTCAGCGCTCTCCGCCAGGGGGCGCCCCTCTCCCGCCGCCGCCGCGGCCCCGCCCCCCGTCCCCGCGCGCAGCCGTCGTCGCTATGGCAACTGAGCGAGGTGGGCGTGGGCGGAGACTCATATGACCCCGCCCGTTTCTCCTCACGTGAGATGGGCGGGGTTACCAATACCACGTCCATCCAGTGGGACAAACGTCACAGTGTAGGGCGGAGTGTAGAGAGCCACGCCCCGTCATTTAACCCAAAGCGCACGCGCCAATTGTCAGGGGTGTGGTCTGTGACCACACCCTTAATTTGCATGTGATAGGCGTGGTCAGATTTGCGCACGCGCAGAAGCAAGGCGTGATTCCGGTTGGGCGTGGCAGGGCGGGGCAAGGCGGGGCGTGACGCAACTCGCGCGCGTGCGCGCGGCGGGGGGGGGAAACGTCCTGTCATGAGCGCGCATGCGCGATGGGGGTGGGGGGGAGCTGGAACCAATGTGGAGCTCAGGAGCCCCAGTTTGGGGATCGCTGTCCCAGTATGAGCCCCCTCACACCAGTACAGACTCGGGCCGCACCAGTGGGAGAGCCCTGCTCCCAGCACGGAGCGGCTCCACACCGGCAGCGAGCGGTCCCGAGCAGTCCGAGCCCCCCTGTCCCGGTCCGGAGCGGTCCCGACCGGTCCGAGCCCCCTGTCCCGGTCCAGCCCAGCATCACCTCCAGCCCCCCTCAATTTCTGGGGAAACGCCCCCAGGCCATTCCCTCCCGCCTCCCCCCCAGCCCCGACAGCTCCCGGGTCCGTTTTCCTCCAATAAATTCCCTCCCGTGGGACTTCCCCCCAGCACACCCCAGAGAAAAACGATGGGAAAAGAAATCCCTCCCTCTCCCAATTATCCAAACTACCAAAATAAATTTAATGGCAAAATTAAAATATTTTGCGAGCTCCAGAGGCACCTCCTGCCCGACCGCGGGAGACGTATCCCATGGAAATTTTATGGATCATTTCTTCTCTCCTTCTCAGGAGCGAAATTTCAGGCGCGGGGGGAGAATTCCCTGCTCTCCTTCCTTCCCGCACCGTCCCGGGGACTGCGGCATGAAGAAGGGCTGGGAAAGGAGAAGGAAGAGGGACTGGGAAAGCAGAAATCCCTGCCAGTCCCTTGGGATGAGCTCGACCCCGCAGAGAATCCCCAGAGCAGGGAAAGAAGCGAAAATTCCCCCCGCAGCCTCCCCTCGCCTCCTGTCGCGTCCTGGGTTAGATCCTGGGTTTTTTGGCAGGTTTTTTCTGCCCCCAAACCCAGCGGGAATGGGCGGAAGGGGGAAAAGCCCCTTTTCCAGCCAGTAGACGGGACTGTGGAAGCGCTTCCCGGGAAATCTCCGCTCTCCCGGGATGGGGCGAGCCCGGACCCACCCCCGGGATGACGGATCACTGCTCCAAGGACCGGGAAATACCGGGCTGGGGCTTTCCCCCGCTTTCCATGTGTCCTTCAGGGATTTCCGAGCCCTGAAACGGGATCATTTTTTGGGAGGGATCTTGGAGCTCATCCAGCCCCGTTTGTCCCACAGGTGCCGCCCTCTCAGGTGCTCCAAGCCCCGTGCAGGGACAATCGCGGGGGTGGCAATGACGATCCTGAAGGTCCCTTCCGAGCCCAAACCATTCCATGAAGATCGGGAGATCCCACTTCCCGCCCCCACATCCCCTGGCCATCCTCCTCCTCCTCTCCCAGCCCCGCCGATGCCTTTTTCCAGGCTGGAGCAGCACAAAAACCGCGGCTCCCGCTCACAGCTCTTGGGATTTCCAAGCAGGAATGAAATTCCGTGCAGGAATTAAATCCTCCCGAATCCTGCCCGTGCCGGCTGTCCCGGGGATGCGGAGCAGAGCAGGGATTTGGCCCCAAACCCTTCGTGCCGGATGAATTGAGGGCAGAAAAGCAGCAGGGAATCAGGAGAGAGGGAGGGAATTCAAACCCTCCTCGGCCACAAACTTTCCCCAGAGCTCGGGGGACACAAATTCCCGGTGGGAAAAGTGTAAAAATTTGTATGGAAAACGCGTCTCGCTGGCATGGCCGTGCCAGTGGGGAAAAGCCTTGGAAGATTTTGGGACATTTTTTTGGCATGGAAAGATAACCCCAAAAGCACCGGGATGGGAATGAGAAGCTTCCACCACTCCCCACTCTCCCGAAATCCTTCCGCGCCAAGAAATTGCCTCTGATGAGCTCCCATTTCTTCCCAGACGTTGTTTTCCCCTCCTCGGCCTCATTAAATCAATTTAAAGTCGATTTCGAAGCGTTTTCCCCACGCAAACCGCGGCGGCTGAACCCGGTGCCCGCGGCTGCGGGGGCTCTGCTGCGCCGGGGGCTCGTTTGCTCCCGGGATTTTGGGTTTAGGGGACACCCGATAAACCCTGGAGCGGCAGCAGCAGGGGTTCTCTGGGAGCTCTCTCGCTGCTTTATTCGGTGCTGCAGGTGGCTGCACCCGGGTGGGGATTTGAGGAAGGAAATTGGGAAATTGCCGAATATCCCGATTTTTTAGACTGGGGATGCAGAGTGCCCAATCCTGGGTTGGGGTGGGCTGAGCTGGCTCTGCCCAAAATCCCACATTCCAAGCCACCAATAAGAGGATTTTGGATGGCCTAGGTCGGTTCTTGATCTATCCCAAATACTCTCAGATCCTTCAGGAACAGCCAAATCCAGGTGTCCTGCGGGTCCCCAGGCCGGGTTCACCCTCGGGCTCTGAGGGGACAGCAGGAGCAGCCGGAGCCTGCAAAGAGCCGGGAGTGCTGGGGGTGGCACTCCGGTACCGGTGGCATTCATTCTGTCCCGGTGCAGCACCGGGCACTCACTGGGAGCTGGATCGGCTGCCCGAGCCCACCGGGCTTTCGGGAGGGGTGGCAGCCCCCGGAGCGCCGGGCGCTGGCACCCCAAGAGTGCCCTGCCCATCCGGGCGCTCCCGGGTGGGGGAGAGATGTCGGGTGGGCAGCGGGGCCGGGTGGGCACCGGATGGTCAGCGGGGTCCGGGAACAGTGGGTAGTCAGCGGGAATCTGGGTGGTCAGCAGGAATTCGGGTGGGCACCGGGTGGTCAGCGGGGTCTGGGACCCTCCGGGGAAGCCCCCGCGCTACCGGGGCCACGCGAAATTCCCGCCACGCCCCCTTCGCCGTGACCGCGCCCATCCCTGCCCTTATATGGCGCCTGTGGGCGGGGCCAAGGCGGTGCCGCGCAGGCAGGGGCGGGGCCGGGGGCGCCGGTTCCCCTCAAAAGGCGGTGGCGGGCGGGCCGGGGGTGGCAGCGGGGCCGGGGCTCAGTTACCGGTACGGGACAGGGGGCACCGGGGCCGAGGTACTGGGCAGGGGGTTCAGCAGGGACAGGGACAGCGGGGCCGGGGCTCAGGTACCGGTACGGGACAGGGGACACCGGGGCTGGGGCTCAGGTACCGGTACCGGGGACCAGGTACTGGGCAGGGGGACACCGGGGCTCAGGTACTGGGCAAGGGACAGCGGAGGTACCGGGGACACCGAGGCCGGGGCTCAGGTGCCGGGCAGGGGACAGGGGGACACCGGGGCTCAGGTCCCGGACAGGGGACACCGGGGCCGGCCAAGCCCAGCCGTTCTCCGCGCCCGCCGCCCCGGCCGTGCCACCGGCGCTCCCCGGGACACGGGGGCGGCCGCTGCGGGCGAACCGGGGCTGCGGGAGCGGTGCGGGGGCCCCGGGAGTGGCGGGATTGTTCCCAGCTCCCGGGCTGTCCCCGGCGGCAGCAGCGACACGGCCGGGCGCTGAGGCTCCCCGGTGCTTCCTGGTTTGCGGTTCCCGTGCTGCTTTGGGGGTCCCGTGCGTATCTGACCCCCCCCCCCCTCCCCCCGGTGCCCTGGGAGGTGTCGGGGGTCCCCTGTGCCCCCCCCCACCGTGACTCCCTAAACTGGGAGCTTTGGGGCTTTCCCTGCCAAAATTCGGATCCCCTTGGGGTTGGGATGTCCCCATCCCGTTCTGGGGGTGGCTCCTGGTTTTGGGGGGCTCAGCCCCGAGCACCCCCAGTAATCCGGGAGTTCTGGGCTGTTCCGGGGGGTCCTCACATCCCGGAAAGGCACCACTGTCCTCCCCCCTCTGGGGCGCCCCCTTTTTGGGGGGCCTTCGAAACCGGGAAATTCCGGGGTGCCGTGGGGTGTTCGTGTGAATTCAGGGCTTCCCGTAAGGTGATTTTGGGGTTCCTGGCTGCCGTGGGGGTGTCAATGTGAATTCAGGGCTTCCCGTAAGGTGGTTTTGGGGTTCCTGGCTGCCGTGGGGGTGTCAATGTGAATTTAGGGCTTCCTGTAAGGCGATTTTAGCGTTTCCTGTAAGGCTGATTTTGGGGGTTTTGGCTGCTCTCATGATTAAGCACCCCATTTAAACCCACGTTCAAGGTCCCAATTCGGGATTTTTGGGGGGTTTTGGGGGGGCTGAGCCCCCCGACACGGCATTAATCACCTTACTTCTTGATTCCCCAGCGCCTTCCCATATTTCGGAGGATCCCGAGCCGTGCCAGCCCCAGGAAAATCAAGGTACGGGGGGATTTTTATGGACCAGGAATAGAGGGATCCTCTCTGGGCATCCCAAAAGAGTTTTTGGGGCGGTTTGGGGTCGGCAGAGGCGGCTGAGCCGCTCCTTCCTCTCCTCTTCAAGGCTGCAGCTTTGAGAAAAGTTGGGTGTTTTTTCTCGGAAAGAGGTTTTCGGGAGAAGCGACGTTTTTGCGGCGTCTTCTCCTCCTCCCCCGGAGCCGCCCGTGACTCATCTTCCTCCGGCCGGGGAAGGAGCGGCGGCTGCGGCGGGACACGAAAATCCCGGGAAATTGCGGTTTAAATTGCGGTCAAACCCGGAAAAAATCCCGGGAAACCGAGCAAAAATCCAGGGAGGTGATGGGGAAAGCAAGGTGTGAGTGGAGCGAAAATCCCGGGAAATTGGGGTTTAAACCCAGGGAAGAGGGAGGAAAAATCCAGGGAAGTGATGGGGAAATCAAGGGGGACAGGAATCCCAGGACATTAAGATTAAATCCAGGGAAATCGAGCAGTAAGGGGAGAAAAGTCCAGGGAAAATAAGATTAAACCCGAGGATGAATGGAGAGAAATCCAGGGAAATATGGGGAAACCAAGGGGAGCAAAAATGGTGTAAATAAATTTAAATAAAGTTTAAAAAGCCCTGATGTTGGGCTGGACCTGGTGGAAATGGGGTGAAATAAAGGGGAAAAAATGCCAGGGTGAGATTGGGTTCCCTCTGGAGTCCTGGAGCAAGGAAAATCTGGGATATGATGATGCAGATGATGATGAGGGTGATAGGAGATGTCTGCCCCAGATCTCCAGGGCGTGACCAGATCAGGACTGAGATGTCCTAGCAATAACAAAAATCCCAAAAATCAGATTTTTCCCAGGTAAAAACATGCCTGGGATCATGGTTGGGGTTTGTTTCCCTGAATCCTGCTGTGTTTAAGGAGGAATAAATGGAAAATCCAGGTGTTTTTTCCCCATTTAATGGCTAATCCTGCTCCAGAGAATAATTTTTAACTTCTTGTGGCCGAGCCAAAGCAGAGCCAGCCTGGCCTGAGCTCCCTGAGGGGAAATTCTGGAATTGTCAGGGGTTGTGAGAGGGAAAATCCCAGTTGGAGGTGGGCTGGGATGGAAATAGGACCCTAAAAAGGAGAGGAATGGGAATGGAAATGGTTCTGGGAATTAAAAAGAAGATAAATAAATTCAGGGAGATGATGGTGAAAGTGAGGGGTGAGAGGAGCAAAAAATCCAGGGAAAATTTTAGGAAAGCAAGGGGGGCAAAATCCAGGGAAATTAGGATTAAACTGAGGTGGAATGGAACAAAAACGTGCCAGGGGCGGCACTGCCAGGATGTCCCCAGTGCCACCCCCTCATTTTCAGCCTCTGCTGACTCAGCTCCTCCTTGGGCCCATTTCTCTTATCTCGGCCCTTATCAGCTCAATCCTCGCCCTTTTCCCCCGCTAATAAACGGAAAAGGGTGGAAAACAACACCTGGATTTTTATCCGAGCACCCGAAGGCGTTTCCTCTTTCCCAGGAACCCCAGGAGCTGCTCCGGGCTCTCCTGGGCAGGGATTCTCCTTGCCTGGAGCCGTTCCTGATCCTGTTCCTGCTTCCCCCTGGGTGGAAAAGGGCATTTCTGGCACACGAAGCCTCCCTCGTTTTTCTCTGGAAAAGTTGGAGCCGTTTCCTGAGGGTTTTCCCACCTTCTCCGTGCCCCAGGCGTGGCTGCTGCTCCAATTTCCCAATTCCAGGTGGCAACAGCTCCGGCTGCTGCATCATTCCCTCCTCCTCCTCCTCCTCCTCCCTCCTTGGGCAGGCCGAGGTTCTGGGGAATGAGAATTCCCTTTTCCAGCGGGCACATCCCAGGGAAGGGACGGACAGGGATCTGGGCTCTTTGCTGCCCCAGGGAGCTCCCTAAAATCCGTTCCTCCCCTCAAATATCCCTCTCATCCCCGTAAATCCCCTGCTCCAGATTTTAACTCCAGATTTTAAATTCCCTGCTCCAAAAATCAGCAAAATTCTGACAAGACCCAGCTCTATTTTCAGGACGTGTCCCCTGGCCTTGGGCTCACCTGGGAGGGGACAGCAAATCCCAGATTTCCTGGGAATTGCCGCAGCTGGGAATCGCCTGTGTGGCTCCACACCTCCCCAGGGCTGTTTCCAGCACAAAAGAGGATTTTACTCCTCAGTATGGGGCTGGTGCTGCCCTTCCACCTCTGCTTTGGGAATTTTTCCATAGGGAGAGCCCTTCCCAGCGCTGTTTTTCTGGAATTATGGGGTCTTTTCCCATTTCCTCCTGGTGTCCTATGCCTGAGGGAGTCCTGGGCTCTACAATCCCTTCCTGAGGGGCTGGGACCCTCTAAGAATTCCATGGGGAAAACCTGGATTTGTGTCCTGCTGCTGCCCAGGGTGGCCCTGGGGACACTGCCTGGGACAGGGCACAAAAATTGGGATTTTGGGGCTGTTTCATTCCTGGAAAGGCCCTGACCCCATGTGGGATCCCAAGGCCATGGAGTCCAGACTCTTCCGTGGAATCCTGAAAAATCCCAAGTTGGGATCATCCCCTCCAACCCCTGGCCCTACACTGGACACAAAAATCCCAAATATCCACGAGCATTCTGCAAAAACTCCTCGGGCTGCAGCAGCCTCAGGGCCCTGTCCATTCCCTGGGAAGCTTTTCCACCCTCTGGATGAGGAATTTTCCCTAAAATGCACCCTAAACCTTCCCAGGGATCCTGTCCCAGCAGCTTCAGATAATCCTTGCTCCAATCCCGAGAATTAAGGTTGATATTCCCCAAATTCCAGCTCCTCTCCCCAGTCCCTGTTTTCAGGGCAGATTTCAGGAGCATTGTGCTGGAATTTTGCAGGAATTTTCCTCCCTCTGGGGCAAATAAAAAGCCCCAAGGGAGGCTGGAAATGGTAAAAAAATAAGAATCCATGTTGAAAATTCCTGTGAATTGTGTTTTCCCGAGGTGGCTTTCTCTCTCCGGAGGGTGACGGAGCAAAAACCTGTTTGGGAATATTTCGAAATCCAGGGAGAAGCTCCGGAGGAGTTCTGGAATTTCCCACAAGCAGGGGCAGCTTCTGCCCGTCAGCCTTCCCCGGATTTTGTCTGGGATACGAGAGGAAGGAATTGGACAGCCTGGAATTAGGGATTAGGAAATAAAGGAGCAAGGGGAAGGATTTGGGGCAGGAGGAGGAAATCCAGGAAGGGTTCAGGAGACACCTGGGAAGACTCTGTGGGAAAAATTCCCATTCCTTGATTTTTTAAAATTTTTCCTTGGAAAGGGGGGGAAGGCTTCTCCATGGAATGACCACAGTGGTGCTGGAGGGATCTTTTTTTGGGGTAAAATCCCAGGAAAAGCTGGGCTCAGTTGGATTTTCCCATTTAGAAGGAGCAGTGGGATGTGTTTGGAGCCCAGGGAATGGCAATCCAAGGGGCTAACCTGGAATATTCCCAATTTTTTATGGGATAGAGAGAAAACCAGGATCTGTGGGTGCCAAATTCCTCGCCCCGGAGTTCCCTCCTGTGCCAGGGCTGGGAGCTCTGGAGTTGCCAGGCTCGTTTTTTCCCAGCTGGAATTCCCAGGGGCGTTGGATCTGTCCCTGCTCTTTGCTCCGATTCCGTTGGGAAACTTTCACCCCTTCCCTCTCCCGGCTTTCCATGGATTTTTATTCATCTGGAATGTCCCAGTGCAGCGGCTCCTGTGGGGTTTTGGGAATTCTTTGTCTGGGGATCCCCAGGGATCCTCCAGCCCAGCCCCAACCCCAAAGCCCAGCTGAGAAAACCCAAATGAAAACAAAATTCCAAAGGAATTAAAGGAATGAAGGTGAAAATCCAGGCTTTGGTTGGCAATGGTGGCAGAGGAGAGCTGGGAATGCTGTCCAAATCCAGATCTTGGCCCAAAATCCCCATCAGGAATCCCTGGAAAACAGCCCCAAAGCAGAGGGAATTATTTAATTGGGAGTTTAATGGGATTTAGTGGATTTAAAGGTGCAGCTGGAATTTGGGAATGGGAAGGTTTGGAATGGGAAAAAAGCACTTTTTTCTTCTCCTTTTTTTAAGGAAAACATTCCAGAGGCACCGGGAATTTTTAAGGAGCCTTGGGGTTGTTAAGTGAGCCTCTCCCAACCCCAGAGCTTTCCTAGCATTCCAGAATCCCAAAAATCTATTGGAATTTTTTTGGGTGGTTTTAATGCCCAGAGCCAATGGGAATAAAAATTCCTTGCCCGAATCAGGGGGAATGCAAGGAAAACTCCTAGATTTTAGGGATAATTTTACACTGAGCCCCTGACTTTGCCCCAGATGGCGTGGAATTAATAGAAAATCGGTGACAAATTCCATTTTTTCCGCTCGCAGCCATGGACCCGGGCGCCTGCAGCACCTCGATGGCCGACCCCGCCGGGGAGTGCGAGCGCGGCGTGCCCAGGGTCTGCGGGGTCTGCGGGGACAGAGCCACCGGCTTCCACTTCAACGCCATGACCTGCGAGGGCTGCAAGGGCTTCTTCAGGTGGGCCCGGGCCTCTGGGACTGCCCCATCCCAAAAAAAAACCCGGGAATCCCAAGGGGAAACAATGGGGTGCTGGAATTCCAGTGGTGCCGCATTCCATGGTGTAAAGGGGGGAAATTGTTTATTTCTTTTGTGGAATGGGGTTTTTTTCCCCTGTTTTTCCAGGGTTTTTCATGGATCTGAGAACTTTGCACCCCCCATCCCAAAAAACTCTGGGAGTCCAATGGGAAACGAACAGGGTGCTGAAATAGGCCTGGAATTCCTGGTGGTGCTGCATTCCCATGGCGGGGAAAAGGAGGAAAATCATTGATTTCCTTTTGTGGGATGGGTTTTTTGCCATTTTTCCAGGGTTTTTCATGGATCTGGGAGATTGCAGTGCTTCAGGAGAAGGGGGGAGTGTGGAAAACTCCCCTGGGGTTACAAACTGGGATTTATCCCAGCCCTAAAATCTCAAAAACTTCTGGGACTGGGGAGTGAGGAAGGGCAGGGGATGCCCTGGAGCAGCTCTTCGCAAATCCAGCATTTCCAGGGAATTCTGCTGTCCCCCTTGGGAATTCTGGGTCACCTGGGAATTCTGCCCATCCCCACTCCCTGCTGAAGCCCTTCCCAGCACCAATCCCTCATTCCAGGCCAGGAATGAGGCCTGGAATTCTCTATTTTAGCCCCTGGGATCCCAAATCCACCTGGGAATGGGTGGCTCAGGAAGGTTTCATGGAATTCAGCCCAGCCTGGCTCCGGTGTCACCCTGGAGCCTCTGGAGCCACCCAAGCTGCAATTTTCATTCCAACCTGGAATTTTGGCCTGCCCTGAGCCCTGGGAATGTTTTTCCCTGCTCCAAGGCCTCGTTGTTTGTGCATTCCCGGTCTTTCCTTGGGGTTTTGTGGAAAAAAATAAGCTTCTTGTGCACCAAAATCTAGAATTTTGGGGTGTCCAGGGCTGAATTCCAGTGCTGGGATTGTGTTTCCCACTTGGAGCAGCAAAATTCCAAAGGTTTTGGAGGAATGGGGGAAAACAGGGCCCTACCATCCATTTTTCTGGGATGAATTCCTGAAAATCCCAAATTCCTGTCAGAAAGGGCAGAGTGCAGCCACTTTGTTTACCTCTCCCTTTCTAAAAGCAGCTTTTAATTCCTGGGGCTGCAGCCCAAGGGAATCTTAAAGATTTTTACCCAGATTTGATTCCTTTACCCATTTTAAAATATTTTACTTTATATTTTACTAATTATTTTATTTTGTTACCCATATGTGATATTTTAGCCCATATTTGACATATTTTACCCCTATTTAATATTTTTTTTTACCCAGTTTTGATATTTTTTACCCATTTTTATTGAGTATTGGCCTTGGCACTTGTAGGGATTGGGCAGCCATAGCTTTTCTGGGAATTCTATTCCAGGGCCTCACAGGGAGGAATTTCTTCCCAATATCCCATCTACCACCTTTTTCCTGGGAAACTCTGGCTCTGACCCTTTGTGCTGGGAGATTCTGATCATTTTTCCTTGGAAGTTTCTGCCTTGACCCTTTGTCCTTGGGGTATTTTGGCTCTGACCCTTACCCCAGGAAGATTCTGGCTCTGACCTTTTGTCCTGGAAGGTTCTGACCCTTTTTCCTTGGAAATTCTGGCTCTGGCCGTTATTCTTGGAAGGTTTTGGCTCTGCCCCGTTGGCTGGCAGGCTCTGACCCTTTTCCTGGGTTATTTTGGCTCTGACCCTTTGTCCCGGTGGCTCCACGTTCCCATTCCGCTGTGGTTTCCCTGCAGCTCAGGGTTGTCATTTTCAGGCTCCTTTCTCTGTGTCCTGCAGCGAGAATTCCTCTCCCTGCACACCCAAAATGTGCTCAGGCCAGTTCTGCAGCAAAGCCGGGCTTAGGGCGGCTGGGTTTAACCACACGGCCCCAGCTCGGGTTTATTTGCTGCCGGGGGGGTGTTTCTCTGCAATCCTGCAATCCTTCCGCCCTCCTGCCTTAAAAATCCCTGTTTTAAACCCAAGCCTTCTTAAACTTACATGCTGGACTGGGCTTAGAGCAGCTGGTTTCGTGGAAGGGGATCAAGCTGGGTTTAAGGTCATTTCCCCCAAACCATTTTGGGATAAACCCTTGGGTGTTTCCTGGGGGGAATTTTCCTTTCCAGCAGTGCTGCAGCTCCCAACCCAGCTGATGTCTGGAGCATCAGCCAAACCAGCAGGAATGGAGCCCAAAAGGGTTTTTGTCCCTTTTGCAGGAGGAGCATGAAGAGGAAGGCCATGTTCACCTGTCCTTCAGCGGGGAGTGCCACATCACCAAGGACAACCGGCGGCACTGCCAGGCTGCCGGCTGAAACGCTGCCTGGACATCGGCATGATGAAGGAGTGTGAGTGTGCAAGGGCTGTGAGTGTGAGTGTCCAGCCCAGGAATGCTCATGGGGCCCTGGCTGTGCCTCTGCCACCTCCCTGGTGCCACAGGGAACCTCCCAGGGATGCAAAGGGCAGAGGAAGCAGCAGGTAATGATTGAGAGGAGCTGGTTTAATGATTCCTTCCCATCCCAGAGTTGCGTTCTCATGGATTCTCCTGGGGTTTTCTTTGAGGAAAATCAGCTCCATGGCTCCCAATGGCTCTGAAAATTCTCTTTTCCAGCATTTTCCATGCTCCACAGGGAGAGCTGGATGAGCTTCCCCATCCCCATGGAGCTGGGTTGGGTTTTCCTCTTCTCCCTCTGAGATTTTTTTTCCTGACCCTTTTTTCCATGTGGGATAAAGCAGGGACTTAAGTCAACAGCAGAGGGAATAAAAGTGGTTTTTAAGCCCAGTCCAAACACACAAATGTGGCCCAAATGTTTGTTTTCTCCGGGCGTATTTAGAGATAAGTGGCTTTTAAAATTAAAACATGTTTGAGGTGCTGGGGAGGAGCTGGGTGCTCCTGGAGAGCTGCAACCAAACATTTCTGCTGGGAGATTGTGGCCAGGGTGTCCATGGAGCTGGAAATTCAGGCTATGGAAGCAGGGCCCTTTCTCTGATGTGCTAAACAGAGCCTGATGTCACCCCAGGGCCTCCAGAAAATCAGCATTTGGAGTGTTTGTGAGGGCAAAAATGCTTACATTTTCAATGACCCTGATGGGAATCCCTGGATTTTATTCTTGGGGATTGGCAGGTTGATGAGGGAGGAAAAGGCCGCACCCCACCCTGGCTGTCCCCAAATTCTGGGGAGCTGTCCCTGTTTTTTGGGAGCCCCTAATGAGGGAAGTGCTTTAATTTGTACCAGCAGTCAATTAATTACCCAGGAAGGGCTGGCAAGTTGCTGGGCAGCAATTCCAGGGGGTTTTCTCCAGGTTTTCTCCACGTTTTCCCCACAGGAGTTAACGTGTAAACAGCCCCGTTAGCAAATCCTGCCTGCATTAACCAAAACTGACCCAGACAGGCTAAAAATAGCTAAAAATGGACTTTGCCGCTGGAAAAATGAGGGAGGATGAAGGGTTGGGGTTATTTTTAGGTGGAAGAAGGGAATCAGGAAAGTTTTGAGGCCTTGTTTTCCACAAAGTGTTGGGATTCAGGGCTGGGAATGTGGGGTAGGGAGGAAGAGGAGCAGGGCAGAGCCTTGAGCTGGGGATAATTTGGGCTCTTCCACACCTCTGAAATTTGTGGTTTGTCCCAGTTTGGGGCAGGAGGAGCTGGGTCTGGCCAGCTGAGGGGTTTGGTGACCCCAACTCTCCCAGTCCTGTGCCAGGCCCAGGTCACCACGTGGCGTTTCTAGGCCCCAGCTTGGGCAAATATTTGTGGTTTTCTGCCTGTCTGGGGACAAGAAGGGCAGAGAAAACCCCTCCAGGCCTTGGGATCGGGGAATTCTCAGCCAGGGCCTGTCCCCTCCTCATAGGATGGCCTGGGAAATCCGGCCTTTCCTTCTTTCTAGGTGGCCAGAAAATGTGGAATTACCCCTTCCCTGCCTTCTTCCAGCTGCCTGCAGCTGAGGGAGGGGTGTCTGTCCCTCAGGGATGTTGAGGCTTCCTTGGATCCTTCCCTAATAGTCCCTAAAAATGGGATTTTTTAACAGCTCCTGCTCTCTGTGCAGCACCAGGGTGGGTGACCCCGAGCAGGCCCCTGTGGATCTGATGCTTTTTGTGATAAAAACTGGCAAGGGGAAATGGCAAAATCCTGATTTTCCTCCCCGATGGTGGAGGTGGGAGCGAGCTTTCGGCCCCTCCTGAGGTGTCCCAGGCCCCTGTGAGGTTGTGCAAGGTTGGGAATGGAAAATGGAGAATGGAAAATCGCCCTGGGCCAAAGGAGCCAGTGAGGCCGAGGCCTCCTTGCCTTGAGCTCCTCCCGCTGACCTCTCGCCCCAAATTCCACCTTGGCCCTCCCAGCACGGGGTCCCTGCACCAGAAATTTCAGAAACAGCCCCTGAGATGTCCAGTCCCTGCAGAAAGGGCTGAGGAAAAGGAACTCCTTTTTCCTTTCCTCCTCCTCAAAACAGAGCTTTGAGGGGGCTCTGCTGTGACCCCAGAGATTTCTGCAGCTCCCCACTGCCTTTGTCCCTCCCAGCCCCTCTGAGGCTGCTCAGGGCTTGGAGTGATTGATAAAAAAGTGAAGATTTGAGCCCAAATTGCCCTCAGCTGCTCCTTTTTCCTGAGCAAACAGGCCCAGCCTTGCGTGGAGCCCAACCTTTGGCCGCTGCTGAGCGCTGCCACCCCAATAAAAGCCATAAATCCCCAGCCCTGAGTGCCTTGACCTTAAAAATCAGATTAAATCTGCCCTGAAGCAGCGCTGGACACCCCTGGTGGCAGCTGGGAGCCGAGGGTTTGGGGATTTGAGAGGGCTGAGCAAACAGGGAGGGAGCAGAACGGGCACGGGGCACGGCTGGCACGGCCTCGGTGCCCCCAGAGCCTCCCCTGAAAGCACCAAAAACCTCCTGGGCACAGCAGGAAACGGGGCCAAGCTGTTGTAGGGGCACAAAGGGATTTTCCAGGTGGCAAAAGCAATTTTCCAGGGGCTGGGTGCGGCATCCAGGGGTCATTCTAATCCCTGATTCCACCCCTTTTCCTCTCCCAGTCATCCTTACGGACGAGGAGGTGCAGAGGAAGAGGGAGATGATCCTGAAGAGGAAGGAGGAGGAAGCCCTGAGGGAAAGCCTCAAACCCAAACTCTCAGAGGAGCAACAGAAAGTCATCGACATCCTGCTCGAGGCCCATCGCAAAACCTACGACCCCACCTATGCTGACTTCACCAAATTTCGGGTACTGACCCCAAAAGATCTCTTTCATCCCTCAAATTCCCCTGCAAAATCCACAGACCCCTCTGCCAGCCCTGTTCCTCAAGGAGTTTTCTCTGTTTTCTCCCCCAGCCCCCGGTGAGGAGCCAACCCAGCAGCAGAGGGGCCACAAAATCCTCATCCCTGCTCACCCAGGACCTGTCCTCAGAGGATTCCTCAGATCTCTTCAGCTCCGAGGCCTTCAGCACATTCCCAGGTCTGCCCCAGCTCCTCCTGGCCCCAAACTGGGATTGGCAGCCAGGGAGGGACCCCAGGGCCCACTTGGGCTGGAGGTGACACCTCAAACCGCCCCAAATTCCAGGGGAGGGGATGGGCTGTGCCAGAGCCCAAATTAACCCCAGCACGAGGGTCTGCCATGCTCCTCCTCTTCCTCATCCCACATTCCCTGACTGGGATCCCAAACCAGCCCTGAACCCTGTGGAGGACCTGGCCTCAAAAGCCCCCAGATTCCCTCCCCTCACCCCTACAGGGCTCAGAGGGGCAGAAAGGCAGCTCTTCCACCCAGATTTGGGATTCCAGAGCCTCTGCTCAGCTCTGGGGGGCTCGCTGGGGTGCTCAGAGCATTTCCCCCCCGCAGACCCCATGGAGCCGCCGCAGTTCCCCAGCCTGGCGCTGCAGGAGGAGCAGGACGAGAGCTCCTCGGTGAACCTGGAGTTCTCCCAGCTCTCCATGCTCCCACACCTGGCTGACCTGGTTAGCTACAGCATCCAGAAGGTGATCGGCTTTGCCAAGATGATCCCGGGATTCAGGTGAGCCTGCAGATCCCAAATCTGGTATTTCCTGTCCCTGGGAATCCCGTGCTGCCCCTCACAGCCATTCCTCCACGCTGTTCCTTTCCCAGCTCTGCTCTCTGTCTCTCCCCTTCCCTGGGGTTCTCCCCTTTTTCCAGTACCCTGGAAAACACACACAGATTCCACCCATAGCCCCTGCAGCACCCGAGGGGCCCAGGAGGGGCCTCAGGCTCTGTTCATTCCAAGATTTGGGACAAAAAGACACTTTAAATAACCCCTGGAATGGGAATTCCTGGGAAGGGGCCTCAGGTTCTGTTCATTCCAAGATTTGAGGCAAAAATGCACCTGAAAAAAACCCTGGAATGGGAATTCCTGAGAAGGCACCTCAGGCTCTGTTCATTCCATGATTTGGGACCAAAATGCACCTGAAAAAAACCCTGGAATGGGAATTCCTGGGGAGGGAGCCTCAGCTGAGGGCCTGGCAAGCACCCTGAGGGTGGCAGCTCCTCCTGGCCCTGTCCTGTGTCCCCTGTGTCCCCTGAGCGCCCCGCTCCCCACCCAGAGGGCAAATCCTCCTGCAGGGATCTGTCTGTGGAGGACCAGATCGTGCTGCTCAAGTGCAGCGCCATGGAGGTGATCATGCTGCGCTCCAACGAGTCCTTCACCCTCGAGGACATGTCCTGGACCTGCGGCAGCAGCGACTTCAAGTACAGGGTCAGCGATGTCACCCAGGGTAAGGGAGCCCCAGCCCCAGCCCCTGAAATTCCCTGACTTTCCCCTGCTGGGCCTTCTCTGCACCTGGCTGAGAACGGGGGTGGGTCCTGCCCCAAATTCTGGGGGTTTGGGAGGTGACAAGTGGTGCTTCAAGGTCTGCAGTGGCACCTCAGGGTCTCCAGTGCCACCTCCTCAATGGCCCCAGTGCCACCCCGATATGTCTGAAAAAATCCCCTTCCAAAGGGAAAGACCCCCGTCCAAAGGGAAAGATCCCCTTCCAGAGGAAAATGAGCCTTTTCCAGAGCCCCCCTGAGGCCCCGTTCTCTCCACAGCCGGGCACAGCATGGCCCTGCTGGAGCCACTGGTGAAGTTCCAGGTGGGGCTGAAGAAGCTGAACCTGCACGAGGAGGAGCATGTGCTGCTCATGGCCATCTGCATCCTGTCCCCAGGTAGGGACAGACCCACCCCAAATTCTAAAAACAAAAGGGAGGGGAAAAACCCATCAGAACGGCTGACCCTAAAAAGGGATGAAAGGGAGGGAAAACCCCCAGACCATAAAAAGGGACAAAAGGGAAGGGAATTATCCCAAGCCCTAAAAAGGGGTGAAAGGGAGGGAATCCCCCCAAACAATAAAAAGGGGTGAAAGGGAAGGGAATCACCCCAGACCATAAAAAGCCCCAAAAGGCAGGGAATCCCCCCAGAGCCCTGTCGCCCCCCAGCAGCGGGGGCTGCCCTGAGCGCTGCCCGTCCCGCAGACCGGCCGGGCGTGCGGGAGCCGCTGCGGGTGGAGGCGCTGCAGGAGCGGCTCTCGGAGGTGCTGCAGAGCTACATCCGCGCCCGGCACGCCGCGCCCGGCGGCCGCCTGCTCTACGCCAAGATGATCCAGAAGCTGGCGGACCTGCGCAGCCTCAACGAGGAGCACTCGCGGCAGTACCGCTGTCTGTCCTTCCAGCCCGAGCACAGCATGCAGCTCACGCCGCTGCTGCTCGAGGTCTTCGGCAACGAGATCTCCTGAGCGCCCGCACGGCAGGAGCGGCCCCACAGCCCCGCGGGACGGGGAACCGGCGCTGGGTGTGCGGGAGGAGCTGAGCCCGGGCAGGGGTCGGGGTCTGGGGTCGCTGCTCCAGGAGCAGCTTCCCCGCATCTCCGCGGGTGGTTTGGGACCGGGCTGCCCCGAATCCCTTCCTTTTGCGAATGTATGGAAGGGCAAGTGCCGGGAGATGAACTGGGATGAGCCAGAGGCAGCCGAGAAAGCCCCAAGGGGGGAAATGTCCTCGACCCCCAAAGGGAAGAGCAGGACGAGCTTTGTTTGCACTCCCTGGGAAGGGGGGAGCAGGGGCATCTCCAGGAGACACCCCCACTTTGGAGCGGGACCCCTCTGCGGGATGGGGTGATGACTGCTGGGATGGGACAGGGACTCCTGGGATGGGACAGGAACCCCAATTCCAGCTGGGCCTCCTTCCCCTGCCATGTTCTGGAGGCGGCTCCAGGCCCTTGTACCCACCCGGAGCAAGGGGGCTTTGGGAGCTGGGGGGCTCCAGAGCCCTGGGAAGAGCCATGACAGCCCCCGGGGCCACGAGCAATGGTAAGAGGGTCCCCGGTGTCTGGAGGGTCTCCGGCTCGGGCCAATAAACTCCTGCTTGGGCAAACCAACTCAGCGCCAGGCTCGTGTGTCCGTCCGTCCATCCATCCATCCACCCATCCATCCATCCATCCATCCATCCATCCATCCATCCATCCATCCATCCATCCCTCCATCCATCCATCCACCCCTGTGTGTCTGACCATCCCTGGGTCCCCGGGGGCCGCGCAGGACGGTGTGTGTCTGTCCCGGAGGTGTCCGCGTGTCCGCGTCCCTCGATCCCGGTCCCGCCCGCCAGAGGGCGCTCGCCACACCAAACAGCCTCCTTGGCCCCGCCCTGTGCGCATGCGCACTCGCTGGGGGCGGGGCTGATCCCGAGCAAGCGCGGGGACAAAATTGGCGGGAAGCGCTTCCGGTGAGGGGGCGTGGCCCTGTGGGGGGCGTGGCCTCCCCGTTGCCATGCGCGGTGCCGCGCGCGCCGTCCGGCTCGTGGCCATGGCCGCCACCGGCACCGGAACCAGCGCCGACATCGGGACCGGGCACAAGCGGCCGCACCCCGAGCCCGCCGCCCGCATCGGCACCCACGACGGCACCTTCCACTGCGACGAGGCGCTGGCGTGTTTCCTGCTGCGCCTCCTCCCCCGCTACCAGGTACGGCACCGGCAGCGCGCCCGGCTCGGGGCATGAACGGGACGGGAACACCGTGCGGTGCCGAGTCCCGGGCTCTTTCTCCGGGTCGCTCTTCTCTCGGTCCCATGTGGGGACACTTGAGCCCACCCAGCGGCCGCTCTTCTGTCTCCGATCCCACCTGGGAGTCCCCCTCGTGTCCCCGGTCCTTCCTCGGGGTCTCCGGTCCCATCTGGGGGTCACTGTTCTGTCCCCGGTCCCACCTGGGGTCACCCCTATCTCCCCCACCCTCTCCTCAAGGTCCGTCCCCGCGGTCCCTCGTCACCCGGAGCCGCTCCCGGGGGTCCCGGTGGCCCTGGGGACCCCCACCCGTGTCCCCTGCAGGACGCGGAGATCGTGCGGACGCGGGACCCGCAGCGCCTGGCCGGCTGCGATGTCGTGGTGGACGTGGGGGGCGAGTACGACCCGGGGCGGCACCGCTACGACCACCACCAGAGGTGAGACCCCGCCGGGGAAGGCGGCACCCCCGGGGGACCCGCGGTGACCGCGTGGCCCCGCAGGTCCTTCACGGAGTCCATGCGGAGCCTGCGGCCGGACAAGCCCTGGAGCACGAAGCTGAGCAGCGCCGGGCTCGTCTATTGCCACTTCGGGGCGCAGATCCTGGCGGGGCTCCTGGGGCAGCCCGAGGACGGGCCCGTGGTCACAGCGCTCTATGACAAGGTGACAGCGGTGGCAGCGGTGGCAGGGGGTCTGTCACCCTGCCGGGGGGACGGGTCTGCCCGGGGCTTGTCCTCGGTGGGGAAAGGGGAGCAGTTTGTGGCAGTGGCTGGGGCCTTTGTGCTTCCAGCCAGGCTTTGCTCTGCGGTCCCCTCTGTCCTCCCTTGCTGTCCCCTCACTGCTCCTCATATTTCTGTCCCCTCACTGTCCCCAGCTGTACGAGAACTTTGTGGAGGAGATCGATGCCATGGACAACGGGATCGCACCGGCGGCGGGGGAGCCGCGCTACGCCCTGAGCACCACCCTGAGCGCCCGCGTGGGGCACCTGAACCCCCGCTGGAATGACCCCGACCAGGATACCGAGGTGGGGCCGGCCCTGGGGACAGCCTGGTCGGGGACAGCCTGCTTGGGGACACTGCTGACCCCTGTGTCCCCAGGCAGGGTTCAGGAGGGCCATGGAGCTGGTGGGCACCGAGTTCCTGCAGCGCCTGGATTTCTACCACCGGGCCTGGCTGCCGGCGCGGGCGCTGGTGGAAGAGGCCGTGCGGCGCCGCCTCGAGGTAACGCCAAGCTGGTCTGGGGGACTCTGTGATTTTGGGGGAGAATTGGGGGGTGGGAGGTCAAATCCCTTTGGTAGAAACCTCCCGGGGGGGCCCTGCACCCCATATCCTGCACGGCCCCTGCAGGAGGGCACTGGGAGGTTCTGGGGCAGCAGCCCAGGATGGTTTTGGGAGTCTCCCCCATGTCCCCAGCGTGTCTCCCCCGCAGGTGGATGCCAGCGGGCAGGTCCTGGAGCTGTCCCAGGGCGGCTGTCCCTGGAAGGAGCACCTGTTCCAGCTGGAGCGGGAGCTGGTCCTGCCCCGGCCGCTGCTGCTCGTGCTGTTCCCGGACCGGGGCGGGCAGTGGCGGGTGCAGAGCGTGCCCACAGCCCCCCACAGCTTCCAGAGCCGGTGAGAGCCTTCCCCTGCCCTGCCACCGCCCCCCAGTGTAGCTGGGATCACTCTCAAGCCCCGTGTCCCCCCCCAGGCTCCCCCTGCCCGAGGCCTGGCGGGGGCTGCGGGACGAGGCGCTGTCCGAGCTGGCCGGAATCCCCGGCTGCGTCTTCGTCCACGCCAGCGGCTTCATCGGGGGCAACCGGACCCGGGAGGGGGCCCTGGAGATGGCCCGGAGGGCGCTGGAGCTCGGGGGGGGCACAGAGAGCACGTGAGCCCCCTCCCCAGCGGGGTCACCCCAGAAGGGAGCCCCTGGCCCAGTGTGGGATGTGCAGGGACCGTTCCCGCTTGGATCCTGGATTCTCCGAGCGATCTGCTGTGCTGGGGGGGCAGCAGCCCCTCCCGGGGGTCTCAGAGCACCCACCCCCCGTGCTGGATGGGTGCTGGCCCAGCCAGAGACTCTTTGGCTCCATTTCCTGGGAGTCTGACCCCCTTCCTGTCACGTCCCTGCACCGAGGCGCTGCCAGCACCAGTAAAAAACAGTGTGTGCCCAGTGGAGTGGCTGTTTGAGGGGTCCCGGGGGGCTGCATGTGACACTGGGGGGTGCTGTGACCCAGGGACAGCCGTGACCCCCCCAGCACGGGGACAGCAATCACTGCAGCCCCCCGCTGTCACCACTGCCATCCTGCGTGTCACCAGCACCGCGTCACCCTCCCTGCTGCGTGTCACAGCACCGCGGGGGGGTCACGGTGTCCCCTCCCTCCCGCCCGTTCGGGGCCATGCCGGCGGCCGGGCTGCTGCTGCTGCTGCTGGGGCTGCCCCAGCACCCCCGGGCCGGTTCCCGGTGCCCCGGGGAGGCTCCGCCGGTGCCGCTCCCGCCCAGCGGCCACAACGAGACGCTGGGGACGGGCACAGGGACAGCGCGGGCCCCGGACGTGGTGGCGCTGGTGGCCCTGGGGGGGTGGCTGGGCTTGGTGCTGCTCTGCATGCGCCGGTTCGTGCGGCGGAGCCGGGAGGAGACGCGGCTGCACCTGCGGTACCTGCGGGCCCTGCCCTGCGCCGCGCACCGGCAACACCGCGAGGAGGAGGAGCCGCTCAGCGGCGGCACCGGGAGCCAACCGGGCGGGCCCGGGGACTGAAACAGCCCCCGGCTGGCCCCAGCAGCTGCGGTGGGTTCGGAGCCCGGGTCACCCCGGATCCCCCTGGATCCTCCTGGATCACCCCGGACCCTACTCAGCCTCAGGAAGGGGCTGGATGCTCTGGGGGGAAAGGGAGGGGTCTCCCCCTTGCTCTGGGGAGGATTTTGAGGGTCCTGGGGCTGTTGGGGTGGGGGGAGCAGGGACCCTGCGCTCTCCCAGTCCCCCCTGCCAGGGCAGTGTAATCCCGGGATTAAGGGTCTGTAATCCTGGGATTGATTAAAACAGTGTAATCCCAGGATTTCACTGTGCCACCCGCAGCAGCAGCAGCAGCAGCGTTAATCCCCTCTGGGGGGGCTCAGCTGCTGCCCCCACCCTGCGGGGCCGGGGGGCTCCCCTGGGGCAGCACCCTGGGACCCCAGGGCTGGGATTTGGGGACCCCCGGAGGGTTTGGTTCACCTTGGGGGGTTTGGTTCACTTTTGTTCACCCTGGAGTCAAAGCTGGGGATTGTGTGCATGGCCAAAACCCGCCCCAAAGCCCTTCAGCCATCACCTGTCCCCAAAACGGGGCTCTTTGATCCCAAAAGAGCAGCCCTGGCCCATGGGCTGCAGTGGGATCACACCAACAGCTTCTGTGAGTCCACTCCAAGCTCTTCCTGACCCCAAAATGAACTCTGGAGCCCCCAGAACCGCTCCAGACCCACAGGACTTCCCAAATTCACCCACAAAAATCCTCCAGTCCTGTCGGGGTGAGGAAAGAAGACAAGAGGGAGAGAAAATCCACCTTTAATTGGGGCAGGATCAACACTGCCAGACCCTGAGCAGGTCTGGGGGATTCCTGCAGGGAGAGGAGGCTGAGCAGGAGGGAGAGGAGGCCTGGGGTGCCCAGGGAGGTTCTGGGGTGCCTCATGAGGCCCTCGGGTGCCCAAGGAAGCCCTGGGGTGCCCGGGGAGGTTCTGGGGTGCCAAAGGAAGCCCTGGGGTGCCCAGGGAGGTTCTGGGATGCCAAAGGAAGCCCTGGGGTGCCTGAGGAGGTTCTGGGATGCCAAAGGAAGCCCTGGGGTGCCCCATGAGGCCCTGAGGTGCCCCAGGAGCCCCT